CATAGACTCTGAACTGGTACTCCAGACCTTCAACCAATGATGTGATTTTGTAATTGCAGTCAAAGCATGGGATTTTGTTATCTTTCACCCATAGGATGGTATTGCGCTCTTTCTTTTCAATCCAGTACCCTGTAACTTTGCTTCCACCATCATGGTATGGTTCTTCCCATTTAATGCCCATGGCATTGGCAGATACAGAGTATACTTCTGGTCTTGTTGGTGGACTTGGTGGTACTAATAAATAAGAGTGATGTGTCATTTATTATTACTCTGACATTCAAGTAAACAGAAAAACTAAGACAAATTTACAGGTAAGTAGATCAAACATTTTCTTACCAAAAGGATGTTCAGCAACAATAGGAGTAGATTCAAGAGGCTTGCTGACACCAAATCTGTTTTCTGCACTTACACGGAAAGTGTATTCCATGTATTTTGTGAGGTGGGTAACTTTAATCTGTGTGCGTTTTACACTGGAGTTAACCAGTTGCCATGCTGTTGTACCGGATTCCCGCTTTTCAACAATGTAATTTGTGATTTCAGTTCCTCCATCATCTTCAGGTTCAGCCCAGGTCAGTACACATGACTCGGCAGATACAGAAGATACCTCAATAGGACCTGTGACAGCACCTGGTCTTCCAATCACGATTACTGTGACAGTGAACGTTTTGATACCAGCTGTATTTTCAAGTGTCAAGTAGTATTTACCAGAGTCACCTCTCATGCTGTCTTTAACAGTCAAAGTGGTTCTGTCCTTTGTTGTCTTGATGGTTACTCTGTCTGTTTCCTTGAGTCTCATTTCTTCCAGTTTCCATGTTACTTTTGGTACTGGACGCCCACTAATTGGAATATCAATTGTGAACTTGCTTCCTGCTTTGCAGGTAATCAGCTGTCTGGTGACACCACTAAGATCAGCTGTAGGCTCAATCTGAGGCTCCTTGATAATAACAGATGAGAAGGCTTCCCTTGGCTCACTATAACCAGCATCATTCTTTGCACGGACACGGAACTCGTATTCAGTATTTTCCATCAGGTTATCGATGGTCAGAGTTAATTGTTTTGTTTGCCCTGCTTCAATCCAGTGGTCAGATCCCTTTTGTTTCATTTCAATCAGGTAGGAAGATATACGACTTCCGCCATCATGTTCAGGTTTTAGCCAAGCCAGTGTTACTGAAGATTTGCTTGTATCTACAATGTCCAATCTCTTTGGTGGTGCTGGTTCTTCAGTGGCAACAATAGGCTCTGGTGTTTCATAAGGCTCACCAACACCATATTCATTTTCAGCAGAAACACGGAAATAGTATGGCTGACCTTCCAGAAGATCTGAAACCTTAATAATCTGTCGAGAGCATTTCTCACTAACTACTTGCCAGCTGCGTCGGCTAGCTTCTCTTCTTTCCACTACATAATGGTGTATACGTGCACCTCCATCATTGAGTGGCGCATCCCACAATAATGTAATAGATCCTCTTGTGACATCTTTGAATGTAATAGGGCCTGGTGGACCAGGAGAATCCAGCACTTTAACAGTAAATGTAATAGACTTGCTTCCACTGTTATTTTCCACAGTTAAAGTATATTTTCCTGCATCATATCTGTTACAGTCCTCCACAGTCAAGGTGCTAAATGAGTCTGTAGTATGAATATCAGCTCTCACACTAAGGTCAGAGTCTGGTTTTGTCCAAATTGCAGTTGGTGTAGGTCTTCCTTTGAATGCAATGAAGAGACGGATGCTTGCACCAGACCTAACAATATGGGTCTGCTTGAAGTTGGCGTCAATATCAATTTCTGGGGATGTCAATCTATCTGCAGTTTGTACTGTAGCAGGTACTTCACAGCTGTCTCCTCTGCCTACTCCATTAACTGCAGAGACTCTGAATTTGTAATTTTCACCAGCCTCGAGGTCAACAACTGTGTATTTTGTGGCCACCACAGCTTCAGCATTGACTTTATGCCATTCACCAAGATCAGCCTTGCACATTTCAATGATGTATCCAATGATCTCCATGCCACCATCAAATGCAGGTTTGGTCCATTCCAAGCTCACTGATGTCTTTGTGGTATCACTTACTTTAACAATGCTGGGTGCGCTAGGTGGATTCACAGGCTCTTTGCATTTAATTAACCTAGACACTCCGCTTGGCTCACTAACACCTGCATCATTTTCAGCTATTGCACGGAATTCATATTCATTGCCTTCAACCAGGCTGGTTACTCTGTATCTGGTCTCAGTGATGGGCTTCTTACTGGACACTTTAACCCAGCGCAGACTCTTCTTCTCTCTCCTTTCTAAGATATAATGATTGATTTCATTGCCACCATCAGATTTTGGTCTTGCCCATGTTACAGTAATGCTGTCACCAGTGATATGAGTAGCATCTGGCACTCCAGGTGCATCAGGAACAGCTGTTGAAAAAGCAAGCAAGTGATGAATTATAATGGTCATGTATAATGATTCATCCAGAAATAAAATAATAGTCTACTTACTGTATTGTATTTGTGCAATAACTGGATCTGAGTCAAGAGGTTTGCCAACACCAAACTTATTTGCTGCAGAAATGCGGTATTGATATTCATTGCCCTTGATCAATTTTGTAACCGTGTATGAGCAGGCTTCACACTGGTCAGTAACTTGTGCCCAGGACAATCTGCTTGTCTCACGTTTTTCAATAACATAATGAGTTATTACAGCACAACCGTCATTGGCAGGTGGATCCCACCATAAGGTCATCTTTTCACCACTGATGTTGCTGAATCTTATAGGTCCACCTACAGGCCCAGGTGTGTCTGTGTAAAAAGGCATTCAGAAATATAATTAAAAGTTTTGATTTTTTGACATGGTATATGGTAAATGACATATTCATGACATCTTGTGGACTATGAATTTTCATCTTACCTTGCACCCTTATTGTCATGTCAGCCTTCTTGGTTCCTGAGGAATTCTTAGCTTCTACAGAGTATACACCACGATGATCACGTGTTGCATCTCTGACAAAGATTGTACTATATCCAATTGCAGTGTTTATTTCAACTCCAAGTTTCTTTTCAATCTCTTTTCCATCTTTAAACCAAACAACCTGAGGCACTGGACGTCCTTTTATCATAGCTTTAGCTCGGATACTTTCACCAGCCTTAACAGTAAGTCCTTCAAAATGCTCAGGACCAAATTCAATAGTTGGAGCAACTATGGAAAAAAACAAAATAATATAATGTTACTGTACTTAGAAAATTGCTTTGAAAACAAAGCAAATATCATGGTAGACAACTGGTAGAACTGAAAAAAATCAATCACTTGACTTTTCTACAATATACTTTGCTTTTTAAAATACATCTTAGATTGATTTGTTTAGAAGAAGAAATATACAATTCTATTTATTATACTAGACATGTATTACTTGCTTATTTTGAGAGTCTTACAAAAACTGGTGATAAAAAATGGTAAAATGCTTACTGCTTTCATCTCTGGTCATGATGTATCCAGAAGATTGTGAAGGTGGGCTGACTGTACCAACAGCATTTCTAGCAATGATTCTAAATTCAAACCGATCTCCTGGACTTAGACCAGTCACTGTGTACTGACATTCGGAAACATCTGTAAAGTTGCATCTCAGCCAGCGATCGTTGCCCTGGCGCTTCTCAATACTGTAAGCCACAATCTTGCTGCCTCCATCACGCAGTGGTGGAGTCCATTTGAGAGTAACTGTTTCTCTAGTGACATCAATATAGTCAGGTGTTCCGGGTGGATCTAAAACACAAAAAGGCAATTAGTTTTACAAAGTCATGTTTTCCATCTGTTCAAATATTAATCAAATGTTCAGCATTACTTACCAACAGGAGACACAGCCAAAGTGAATTTGCTTGGCTCACTTACTGGGCTAAGGCCAGCAGTATTTTCTGCCAATACACGGAATTGGTAATCCAGACCTTCAATTAGTCCAGTAATCCTGTATTCCCTGTTAGATATAGGTGTAGTATTAACCCGTTGCCAGAGTATGCTGTTTCTTTCTTTCTTTTCAACATGGAAGCCAGTAATTTCAGAACCACCATCATATACTGGTGCATCCCAGGTGATAGACATTCCATCACTTGTAATGTTGTAAACAACTGGCTTTCCTGGAGGGCCTGGTGGTCTAAATTGATGTTTGACAATAACATCAGCAGAGTTTAGTGGTGGGCTCACACCATATCTGTTTTCAGCACGTACTCTAAACTGGTACTCTGTTTCCTTTGACAAGATTTGGAATCTTGAAAGTTGTCCTGGCAACACTGGAGCAAACCATCTTCCAGTTGGTCTGAGAAGTTTCACGCTTCTCAATGCTGTATGATGTAATTTCTCCTCCTCCATCATCATCTGGGACATCCCAGGATATAATTACACTGTCAGCTCTTATCTCATCAAATCTTATAGGTCCCTTTGGTTTAGAAGGAGGACCAAGTGCTATCACTGTGATTACATATGACTTACGAGCAACACCATTATCAAGGATTAAAGTGTACTTGCCACCATTTTCTTTCTTAACATTCTTGATGCTAAGACTTAGTTTAGCTTCCGTTTTCTTAAATCTCACTTGTTCACTTTCCTTAAGAGGAATATTGTCCTTCAACCAAGATATAGTTGGTCTAGGTTTACCCTTGTAAGGTAGCTCAATATGTACATTGTGCCCAATGCGTACGGTGATTTGTCCTCCAAGTATTTCAGATATGTCAGCTTCAGGTGTAATAATGTAATCTTTAACTGTTATAGGCCCAATAATAACGCCATCACTGAGACCTTTCTCATTCTTAGCTGAAACTCTGAATTCCATAACTGAAAGCTCCTTCAGTTTAGTGACCTCAAACTCACATGCTTTGCTGATTCCTGCATGTGACCATTCTTTCTCATCCTTCAGTTTGCTTTCCAATACATATTCACTAACAAGACTGCCACCATCATAATCTGGTTTGCTCCAAGCAAGAGTAACAGATGTTTTAGTGGAATCTTTCATTGTTAGATCTCTTATTGGTCCTGGAATTTCAGATGCTTTCACTGGCTCTGTTGTTTCACACGGTTCTCCTATACCATTTTCATTTTCTGCAAGAACTCTGAAGAAGTAAGCTGTTTTCTCTGACAAATTAGTTATCTTGAATGATGTATGAGAACATTTTGTTGTGACAGCTGCCCAAGCTCTCTTAGTGGCATCTCTCTTTTCAATTACATAGTTAGTGACTTCAGCTCCGCCATTTATGAGTGGAGGCTCCCATACCAGTGTAACAGTGCCACGTGCAACGTTCTTTATTTGTAGCTTTTGACATTCTGCTGGTGTGTCAAGCACCTTTACTGTAACAAATGTAGATTTAGGCTGTCCAACGCCATTTTCTATTGTCAGAACATACTTGCCAGTGTCATGGCGGGTGACTTGAGGTATATCAACTAATGTTGAAGATTCTGTGTTCTGAATATTGTATCTTGGGTCATTACCAATGTTCTTCTCTCCCTTTCTCCATGTCACACTTGGAGTAGGTCTTCCTTTGAAGGGAATCATTAACTGAACATCTTCACCAGCTTTTGCCACAATGGATGTTCTCAAGGCAACGTCAAGATCAATCTCAGGCTCCTCTGCAAATACAAACAAAGAAAACATTAGCATAATAAACAAAACTTAACGGTGTTACTAAAATCAAAAACACTGATGCATTACACACCGAGTATGTCCTTTGCCTGGGTAGGTTCAGTCATCTCAATAGGCTCTCCTTTGCCTGCTGCATTTACAGCAGATACTCTAAAGTAGTAGTCAACACCAGGTTTAAGAAGAGAAACAACATATTCAGTAGTTCTGACTTCTCCTTTAGCACTAACAACAGTCCATTCTTCACTCTCTCCTTCCCTGACTTCCACAACGTAGCTTGTGATTGGGCTACCACCATCAAAGACAGGCTTAGTCCAGCTAAGAGTGATTGATGATTTGGTACTATCCACAATCTTGAGTTTTGTTGCTTGTCCAGGTTTGTCTTTAAAAAAAAAATAGTTTTACTTAGTAGTTAAGTATTTAAAGTATATATAAAAAACAGTTCATCAAAGATACACATAGTAAATAATAATAATGCTAATAATTACCAATAGGATCAACTGCTTTGTAGAAATCAGATGCATCTGAGAATGGACCTTGGCCAGCTGCATTAATAGCACAGACACGGAACTGATATTCACTCTCTTCTGTAAGTCCTGAAACTTTCTGTCTGGTGTCACACGGATGGATTCCTTAATTACTTTGAACCATCTTAAGCTCTTCTTATCGCGTTTTTCAAGGTAATATCCACTTATGTCACTTCCACCATCCACAGTAGGCCTGCTCCAGGTTACAGTCATAGAATTCTTGGTAATTGTGGCAACCTCAGGAATACTTGGAGGACCAGGTGTCACTAAAACATAAAACAGAATTATAAGTATCAAATCATATAATTATACGAAACTCACATCACTATAATTACATAAAGCCTAATTTGTTTTACATACCAAATGCATTTCTTGCTATTATAGGTTCTGACTCCAGAGGATCACCAACTCCATATTTGTTCACACCTCTAACACGGAAGATATATTCATTTCCTTTAATTAGTTTGGTGACGGTTATCGAACATACTTCATGCTTTTCTGAGACTAATGACCACACTACTCTGCTTGTTTCACGCTTTTCTACAATGTAATGGGTCACTTTAGCTCCCCCATCATCAGCAGGTGGCTCCCATGAGAAGGTAATCTTTTCAGCTGTCACTGTCTTGAACTGTATAAGTCCAGTAGGTGGGCCAGGTTTGTCTATATAGACAGAACAAAATCAGACATATCAAATAAAGAATTTAAAAACACAGGAAAACCTAGGAAAATATAGAAAAAAAAACCTACCAAGCATTTGCACTCGGATGCTAGCTGAAGCAGAACCCATGGCATTCTTTAGTTTTAGCTCATAAAGTCCAGTGTTGATCCGAGAAGCATCTTTAATGATGACTGATGAAAACTCACTGGTGCTTTCAATAGATACTTGAGCACTTGTTTGTATTTCTTTTCCATTTTTGAACCATTCCATAGTAGGCAGTGGCTTACCAGAAATGCCAAGTTTCAATTTTACAGCGACTCCAGCCTTAAATTTCACAACATCTGTGTACTCTGGTGGTACGTCTATTTGAGGTGCACCTATAAAACAATAATATTATATATATATATATATACACACAGTATAATACCAGTGTAGTATATTGATCTGTATATCTATATTTCAGTATATATATGCTGCATACTCTCTCTTACAAGTATGTCGTCTTAGCTCAACAAGTAAGATGTGGTAAAAAAACATATTCATCAATGCTGAGTCTGAGAAACTCAGTTATAGCATCTGTTTACCAAAATGTTATTACTCTAAGTGTTCTTACCATAAGTGTCAACACAAGTAATGGGTCCTGCGACATCTGATGGGTTACTTATGGAACCAACTGCATTCTTGGCAAAGACGCGGAATTCATATTGATTGCCTTGAGTCAATCCAGATACGCTAAACTGTGTCTCAATAACATTGGTGAAGCTGGCCTTGGTCCAACGACCATTTGGTAGGTCACGTTTTTCTACAATGTATCCAGTGATTTTGCTGCCACCATCGTATGCTGGTTTCTGCCATGCCAGGTTCACAGAAACCTTTGTAATATCAGTTACACGGACATTTCTAGGAGGCTCTGTAAAGGAAAAACAGGAGTTAATAATCATATTTATTCTTTAACAGAAAGTAGGTAGCATGTCATAGTTTAAATGTTATGCTGTTATTGTTTGTCATTCATTTAAAGTTAATCTGAATGCCACAGCAGTTAGAGATTCTTGTGATTTGCTCTGTTAGAGTACACTATGTGATACAGCAGGCAATCTGTAAGTTAAAGCTACATAGCACTTCAAATCAACTGACAACTTTTACAGAATATTGCCGTTAAACAAAAACCTATATGCTAATAACTTACCACATGCATGCATCAATTGCTAGTACAGGTTCTGATTGATGGCTGGCTTTTCCGATTCCAGCAGCATTTTCAGCATATACTCTAAATTCATAGATGAGCCCGGCACTGATGTTGGTGACCTTGAAGTGACTTGTGCGAATTATTGTCTTATTAGCTTTCTGCCACAAGATACTGTTCCTGTCTTTCATTTCTAAGTGATACCCAATAACTGTATTGCCACCATTAGAGACTGGCTCATGCCAACCCACAGTAATGCTCTCTCGGGTAACATTGCTGACCCATGGAGTGGATGGTGGCCCAGGTATGGCTGAAAAGGAAACATAGTGTAAGTAGTGTATAAGGTGAAGCAAAAATTTTAGATCCTACTATTTAGGTATTAATAAAAACTTACTGTAAGGCAGCTTGACAGTTACACACTCAGAATCAATATGGTCACTGATGCCAAAACGATTTTCAGCTTTGATACGGAACTGGTATTCTTCTCCTTTGGTCAGTTTCATGACCTTTGTGACATTTCTGGCCACTGTAGAAGAAACTTCAGACCAAGCAGCAGTGCTTGTTTCTCTCTTTAGGACAATGTAGTTAGTAACCTGACTTCCACCATCATAACCTGGAGGCTCCCACTGCAGTGTTATACTGTCTTCAGTGACATCACTGATGACCACAGGACCTACTGGTGGGCCTGGTCTGTCTAGTACAACAATCTTGACTGTGGCCTTAGTGGTTCCACTGGAGTTGGATGCTGTTAATTCATAAGATCCAGCATCAGCAGCAACACTTTCTTTAAGGTGAATAATGATGCTTTCTGCTGTGGTCTCAGTATTGAATCGCAAAGTGGATTTCACAAGAAGACCATCTCTGGATAGTGTCACCTTAGGAAGAGGCCTACCAGAAACTGGAATGTCAACTTTAAGATTTGAACCTGCTCTGACATACACAGTGTTACTTGGATATCCTCTCATGTCTATTTCAGGTGATTCTGAAAAATGAAGCAAGATACTTTTAATTAGACACATTTTAGTGACACATAAACAAAATATGAATTATTATACCATGTACAGCTAAGGTATCTATAATATTTAGAGATTATGTATGATAAATAGTAACAAATACTCTGTCTTGATTTGTGACAAAGTTTTATTTGGTTGGGTTGTGGTAGAATATAGTTACCTAATGGCAATTTACCTTAAGTAAATAAATCATGTAAAAAGGCATGTTCTAGGTAGGTATATATCGAAGCTTGTGTTCAATTAGCACAATAATGGAGCAGGCAAAAGTCTCTTTGATACAATGTGTAATACTAACATTCATATTATACAATTCACTATGTGGTAATATAAAAGCTTATGTTTGATGGTCCCTAGTTTAGAATTGTTGAGAAGGTGGGAAATTTTCTAAATTAGAGTTTAATAATGCATCTTTTTGTTATATATACTGGAAAATCAAGAATATGAAGAACAAATAATGATACAGATGCCACCGTGATAAATACTCACCAAGCTTTTCTTTAACGGTTACAGGTAGAAGAAGTTCTTTAGGATCACTGAGACCGGCCTGATTTTCTGCAAAAACTCTGAAGAAGTAGTCAACATTTTCTTTGAGACCACGAATATCATGGTGAGTTGTCTTGACTACGGCACATTTGACCCATTTTTGTTGCCCTTTCTCTAGAGCTTCAACCAGATAACCCAGGATTTTGCTTCCTCCATCATGTTCTGGTTTTGACCAAGCCAGTGACACACTGTCCTTTGTAACATTGGTTACTCCAAGTTTTTCCGGTGGACTAGGTCTCTCTGTTGAGCACACACGTAAAAGATTGTTAGAATAGTATTTAACTAGTTTCCCTACCTAACCTTGCTTTCACACTACAGTAATCTAGTTTTAATCACAAATGTAATACTAACCTGTTATCTTTACGCCTTCCTTGGTTTCTGCAGGTGCTCCAACACCAAATTCATTTTCTCCAGAGATTCTGAAATAGTAGACTCCACCTTCTTGTAGACCAATTACTTTGTATGTAAGGCGATGACAGTTATTTGTTACAGAGACCCATGCCTTTTTACTTGCTTCACGTTTTTCAATGTGGTAATTCTTTACTGGTGCACCACCATCATTGTCAGGGACATCCCAGGACAGGACAGCAGATTCCTTTGTCACTTCTTTTACAATGATATTTAAAGGAGGTCCAGGAGAATCAAGAACTTTCACAACTAGTGTAAGTGTTGCAGTGTTAAGAACATTCTGCAGTGTAAGTGTGTACTTGCCAGAATCATTCCTTGTGGCCTTTTCAATGGAAAGTGATGTTCTTGTATCTGTGGTATCAATTGTAGCTCTTGTACGTAGATCAGAGTCTGGTTTGCTCCACATAACATTAGGAACAGGTTTACCTCTGTAAGGCACTGTCATGGTGAATGATCCGCCTGCTTTGACAATCAATGTTTTACGCATTTCAGTGTCAATGTCAAAGGCAGGTTCTTCTTCTCTGTCTTTCACTATCTGTGGCTCTGTGCTCTCACTTGGTTCACTTGGGCCTACTTTGTTGACAGATCTAACTCTAAATGAGTATTCTGCTCCAGAAGTCAGTGCAATTACTGTATACTCAGTACCTCTTACATTTGTTATAGCTGTTGCCCATTCAGTATCATCAGATTTTTTGTATTCAACAGTGTATCCAGTAACTGGGGAACCACCATCAAACAATGGTTTTACCCAGCTGATTGTCACAGTTGACCTTGTTGAGTCTACAATTTTAGGCTTAGATGGTGGTGATGGCAGGAAAATTGGATCTTCTGCACGAATCAAAGGTGAGCATTCACTTGGAGAACTAAGACCAGCAGCATTTTCTGCATAGACACGATATTCATATTCACATCCTTCCCGCAAACCAGAAGATTTTACTCTTAGGTCATAAACAGGTTTTTTGTTCACACGCATCCACCTTAGACTGTTCTTCTCACGTCTCTCTATTACATATCCTGCTATTTCACTACCACCATCACTTTCAGGTCTTGCCCAACAAAGTGTCATAGCATCTTTTGTTACACTTGTAATCTCCAGTGATTTTGGTGCACTTGGAACAGTAAATGGATCTAATGCCTTGATTGCTTCACTTTCCAGGGGTTCTCCTACTCCATACTTGTTAACCGCCATTACTCTGAAGACATATTCATTACCCTTGAGAAGTTTTGTTACCTTGCAGGAAGTGGTTCTAAGTTCAGATTCACAGACTGTCCAAGCAATGCGGCTGGTTTCACGTTTTTCAACAACATAGTAGTCTATCTCTGCACCACCATTTTCTTGAGGAGGTCCCCATGAAAGTGTGCACTTCTCTGCTGTTACTCCAGCAATTTGTAGTGGCCCTGCAGAAGGCCCTGGTCTATCAAGTACTTTGCAGTTTACGGCTAAGGATCTTGTTCCTGCAACATTTTGTAGTGTTAAGACATACTGGCCTGAATCTCTTCGTATGCAGTCTTTAACTACAAGTATAGTACTACTGTCTGTTGAAATAATCTCTACTCTTGCTTTTTCTTCAATTTCTTTGCTATCTTTTGTCCAAGAAACTACAGGATGAGGTCTTCCTGCAATATCAGCATTAATCTTAAGAATTTCCCCTGCCTTGACAACAACAACATCTCTGAACTTAACATCCATCATAATTCTTGGGGCATCTACATCATCTTTAACTGTAATAGGTCCTGTGGATTCAGAAGGTTCACTAAAAAGCCCTGCAGAATTCTTTGCAATAACACGGAATTCATATCTCTGGTCTTCTGTGAGTGCAGTTACATCAAAGAAAGTTTCCTGGATGTTTGTAAAGTTGCATTTTAGCCAACGTCCATCGGGTAATTCCTTTCTTTCAATAATATATCCTGTAATCTTTGCTCCACCATCATACTCTGGCTTCTTCCATGCTAGTGAAACAGATGTTCTTGTGATATTAGTAACTTCTGGTTGACCTGGGGGATCACATGGATCTCTTGCTGCAACTGGCTCACATGATTTGCTACACTTTCCAATTCCAGCAATGTTTTCAGCATAGACACGATATTCATACATCAGTCCTTCTTCAAGACCTGTTACTTTCAGTTGTGTGTCAGATATAAGACTCTTGTTAACCTTAGCCCAGAGAATGCTGCTTCTTTCTTTTTTCTCCAAATGATATCCAATCACGTAACTACCACCATCATTCACAGGCGGTTGCCAAGTAACAATCATGAAAGCCTTTGTTGAATGAGCAACACGAGGTGTTCCTGGAGTCCTGGTGGTTTGAATGGATACTGAGCAACAACTGATGAGCTGTCAGTGTAATGGCTCTTTCCATATCTGTTTTCTGCACAAACACGGAATTGATATTCTGAACCAGTTGTCAAACGTCCAACTTTAATGGATGTTCTTGCCACTGTTGCTGATACTAGTTCCCATACTGTAGTAGTTGTGTCTCTCCTCTCAACAATGTAGTTGTTTATATGACAGCCACCATCATATACTGGGGCACTCCAAGAAAATGAGATGCTGTCTGCGCTAACATCGTCAATCTGTATGGGTCCTGGTGGTCCTGGTTTATCAAGCACAATCACACCAAGAGAAGCTGTTGTAGAACCTGCACTGTTTGAAGCAGTTAATTCATATTGTCCAACATCATCTTTAGTTGCTTCTTTGATAGAAAGGAGTGTAGATGTCTTTGTAACTTGGACATTTACTCTAGTTGTTTGTTTTAAAGTGTGTCCATCTTTTTTCCATGTTATATTAGGAACTGGTCTTCCTCGGACTGGTACCTCAATCTTAAGATCATCCCCAGCTTTCACACTAAAAGTATTGAATAGGAGCTCAATTGTTGGTTGGATTTCAATATCCTTGGCTATTACTGGTACACCCAGTTGTCTTGGATCGCTCCTTCCTTTCTCATTTACAGCAATCACTCTGAATGTATACTCCTCACCACTTGACAAGCCTGTAATTGTTGCCTCTAGTGTCTTTACCTGAGTGCAAGTGCTCCATTTTTCACTTCCCTTGGTCTGCATTTCTACAACATAGCCAGTAATTTTGCTACCTCCATCACTCTCTGGTTTCTCCCATGAAAGAGTTGCACTGTTACGAGTTACATCTACAAGAGTTACTCTACCAGGGGGAAATGGAGCTTCAGATACTTTAATTGGGTCTGTTGTACTTGTAGGCAGACCAATACCATGCTCATTGGCAGCCAAAACACGGAAATAGTATACGCCTCCTTCCTGGAGTTGGTCAATCTTAAATGTATTCTTTGTGCAGTTACTTGTTACTGTTGCATAAGCTTTTCTGGTAGCTTCACGTTTATCAACAATATAGTTTGTGATCTTAGAACCTCCATCAATAAGTGGTGGTTCCCAAGACAAAGTCACTGAATCCTTTTTGATTTCTTTGACAACCAGATTTATGGGGGCACTTGGTGAGTCAAGTACTCTAACATTCACAAATGCCGATTTTGAGCCACTGTTGTTTTCCAGTGTTAAGTTGTATCTTCCACTATCAAATCTGTTGACATTGTCAATAACCAACATTGTATATGAGCTGGTAACTTCAATCTGTGCTCGCTCTGTAAGTTTGTCATCTGCCTTTTCCCATTTTACTTCAGGTTCAGGTCTTCCTTTGATTGTGACAAACAATCTTAGACTTCCACCAGCCCGGACAGTAACAGTCTTTCTCAAATCAGCATCAAGTTCAATTTCAGGAGGTTCTAATTTTTCAGCAGCGATAACTGTTCCTGGAACAGCAGCAGGTTCTCCCACTCCCTCTGAGTTGATGGCACAAATACGGAAGGAGTATTCTGTATTTTCCTTTAGTTTTGTTACTGTAAACTGTTTACCTTGCAGTCCTGTTGGAAGTGTGGCAGTAGTCCATTCATCAGCTGCTGCTTCTTTGAATTCTACAACATAACCTGAAACTGGTGCACCACCATCATACACAGGCTTGCTCCAAGCAAGAGATACAGATGATCTAGAGGTGTCAGTTACTTTTGGATTTCCTGGAGGTCCTGGAGGATATATGGCATCACATGCACGATAGAAAATAGATGTTCACTTGGTTCTCCAACACCAGCAGCATTTTCAGCAGAGACTCTAAATTCATAGAAATGTCCATCTGTTAAGCCTGTTACTCTAAGTCTTAAGTCAGTTAATCTTTTCTTGTTGCACTTTGTCCATCTAACACCATCTTTGTCACGCTTTTCAAGAATATACCCTTCTATCTCTGCACCACCATTGTCTTGTGGACGACCCATGTTACTACCATAGAATCTTTAGTGATTGCAGAAACTTCTGGTGTTGTAGGTGCACTTGGAGGCTTAAATGGATTACAAGCCAGAACTGGTTCAGATTCAAGGGGCTCTCCAATTCCATATTTGTTCACTGCAACAACACGGAAGATATATTCATTGCCTGCTAGAAGTTTTGTAACTTTGTGGCTCAAAGCCTGGACTTCTGAAGCAACCTGGGTCCAAGAAAGTCTACTTGTTTCTCTCTTTTCAATGTTGTAATGTGAAATATTTGCACCACCATCCTGTGAAGGTGGGCCCCATGCCAAATAACATTTGTCTGATGTTACACCTGAAACCTTTAGTGGACCTTCTGGAGGACCAGGGCGATCAAGAACCTTGACAGTAATAGGAATAGACTTTGTTCCACCTACATTACTGAGGATGAGAACATATTGACCACCATCCACTCGAATACAGTCTTTAACAATTAATGTTGTTCTTTGAAGGGTGGATTTTATTTCTGAACGTGCAGTTGTTGCTTCAAGCTCTCTCCCGTCTTTGGACC